TTTAATATAAAATGAGCGATCTTTTAAGCTTTGTGAATTAGAAAACAAGAACTTCCATTTTAGATCAACAGTTACACAATGAAACAAAAGAGCTTTGGATATTTTTTGCAGAAAGTTAAGGGTTTTGCACTACCTAATGTGAAACTGTAAGAGCCAGGCAGTACATACATTCTTCACATCCATCTAGGGATACGTTGCACATATGTATGTGTGCACATGCACGCACCCATACACACACCCTGACAGCTAGCACTTCCTTTGCGCAGTGCACAGCAGGCTGCAGTCCTAATCCAAATTCCACCCCAATACTTCCACTGGATCAGGGTCTTACTGGTGCATTAGCTCTGTCTTACTCTAATGGCTTTCTGTGTGATATTAAGTTGACTTGCAGGCAAAAAATTGCCTAGAGTGACCCAAGAGGGATAGTTATGGAGGGGAGAGGAGCTGAGCTGTGTTGCTGCCTATGGGTCACCCCCCACCTTGAGTGCCACAGTGCTGTTCTGGCTGCGAGCATGGGGTTGCAACTTGGCTCAGCACCGAATGTGTCTTCCTTGCCAGGGACCGCACTGAGCTCTTTTAAACCTGCAGTTGTCGTCTGCCCCTGTTCTTCTGCTATTATCCCCTGCTAGGAGATGAATTTTTATACTTCTGACCAAGATCCAATCTTCTTTCCCTTATCAAACATAATAGAAAATGCTGTAGTTACAGAATAACAAACTCGCCTCCTGGATAAATGTCAATCTATTTTTAAGTGCGGGATCAGCTTGGGAGCAGCCTGTGACAGCGTATCACTTCATGCCAACATGGTGCCCCTTCATTTCTTATTTCACTTGCCTCCAGCCCCCTGTCTTTGGTTCCACATTGCCTTGAATGTCGCCTCTTTTCCCTCTTCCGGCTCCTTCACCTTCATACACAAAGGGCCTGATCCTGGCCGCTCCCACATTAGATCTGGCACACAGTGAGCTGGTGTGATGTGAATCAGGCATATAGCTGCTGCACTATCCCCTGGATACTCCTGGTTTGTGTGCTGAGTGTTTCTCTTTCAGTCTTAAGCCTTGTTCTGTTAACTCTCATGTAAGTCTGGAGATTGCTTGTACAGCCGTGCAAGTCAGCTTTGTGCATTTTTCTGTTGGACTTTTGGACTCATAAGCTACTTTCAGACTATCATCTCACTCTGCCATTTGAGGATTGCATTTTGGAAATGGGCATATTATTCTTTATAGTCAGACACAGGACAGGCTGCTTTATGGAATTTGAGTGCAGAGAGAGGCTTGCAAAAAACCTCATTTATTTGTACTTGTGGGGAAACAGACCTCCAAAAACAGTTGCTATCATTAGATCCAATTTGAACAGCAGTTAATTAACCAATGATGGAGGGTTTTTTTCTTTCAGTTGGTCATTCAGACCAATTTTGTGTACAGACTCTTCAGGACTAAGAGGACCAAGCTCTGAGCATAAATTTAAGTAATCAATAACTGTAATTTTTAAACAGTCCTGATTTATTCAAAATTAACCTCCAGAAAAAGAACTAACTGCATTAACATCTGTGCTCAGATCTCTGCTGTGGCAGCTCTTTCTGCTGACAGTCTTGCTGGACAAGTTTCCTTTAAGAGAGCAAAGTCCTCGACTTCATTTCTCCAGTTCCCTAATTTTGATTCAGAGCCACATCTTTGTTTAAAGGTTTATGTAGATAAACCTCAATTTTGTCAATCTCAATTTTGTGTAAGACGTAGGATCAAGTTCTAATTTCCAATGTTAAATCCTATGCTCTACTTTCCACCGCAGTGTTCTCAAGATGACTATTCCAGGTTAGACCCCATGCTGTGTTTAACACTTAGAATAAACTAAAGTATCAGTAACTTCGTTTACTCATTAAGAACATGGGCTTGCTCTGAAACTATCTGATGTGCAGTGAGCTTTCAAAGTTCAGGTTAAGATAGACAACAACGGCATGGACAATAACAATGATATTTGGGACTACTGAAATATAAATCTGCTGCTTTCCTATTGCTTAAGGACACACAATAATACAAATAATCTTTTGTGATAGCCTATATACGAATCAGATAGAAAAGCTCTTCCCACAGAGTGGCCAGCTGCTATAGTAATGGCATGTTGTTTTAAGCACTCAGTGAGAGGTGAAAATTCATTGGCCATCTTATTTTCTATCTTAAAGTATTCGTGATAGCACTGTTACGTATGCTACCAAAACAGCAGAGTGTTAGCACAGCAGTACTGGGCTTGTGGCTGCTGTGCTGCCAGGATGCTGCTGCTTGTTCTCCTGCGAGCACTGATCCAAGAGGGTGCAATGGGATGGTGAGAACTCCAAGCTGTAAGAAAGCTCTAGCTACAGGAAACCCATTTCCAATCTCATCTCTACTGTAAGCAATCAGTAAAACACAAGCATTGCATCCCCCTTCCTAGCAGAATACTGTTATAAGACAAATATTAAAGCATGCCAGACAGTCAAATATTAGCAAGATTGTGAGAAATGATCACACTGTGCTAAAACTAAAGTCCAAATAGTGCAAAAGGCTCTGGGTTTTGGTGCTGAGGAGAAAACAAAGTGCACAGATAACACTACTTAGGCTATGCACCCACATCCAGCCAGCTAGGGTTAGCTCCCCTCCTACTGCACCTCACTCTTCTTGTGTAAAATTGACCTAACAAACACTTTTCCTGTACATGCTATGACAGGTGCTGCATTTGAGCAAATTTTAATAGACAGCATATTAACTGATGGCTTCAGATCACTGATGTATGTGTGTGAGTTCGCATCTCCTGCACAATGGTTCCTGACTCTCATCTGTTTTGATCAGTATCACTCACCCCTGTGATCCTTGCTCTTTTCCAGCATCATGACAAATTTTGGTTCCCTGTCAACATCAATGTCTCATTGGCTCTAACGGTTGAGATGGGCCAGTTCATCTCAGCATCATATCCTGGCAGCTCAAAATTGATCTGAGGGTATTGTGAAAGTTTTCAATATGTGTGTATGGAATCCTCTGTTGAACTCCAAATTTCTGAGCATCTCAATGCCATGGATCTTTATGCTCCAGAAGGTGTGGGTACATTTTTCTATCACTGAGCAGAATGGAAGGGGACAGAGCTATTGCATGCTTGAACTCTTTCCTTCTGACACTTTCGGATCTTTCCTGTTTAACCACTGGGCTAGAAGGGAGGAAGGTCTGTGGCATTACTCAGACTAAGGTTATACAGTAGAAAAAATATATTATTCTAAACAAGGAATATTCCCAGGGAACAGGTCTGGCATTTGGCTTTTTACAGGATCTTAGAATTTGACTCATATTCAGTGGGTCTGTTGGGACTATTGGGTCTATTATGGTTTTGCTACCTTTTTTCCTGTTTTCTTCTTTATATGTATTAGAATACATATCTGGGACCAGATCCATAGCTTAGTTCTATCAGCTTCAATAATGTTATGCTTATTTCTGCCAGATGAAGTTTTGCCTTTGCATTCAGAGGATATAAGAAAATGCACTGAAAGAGCCCTAAACCACACAGACCGCTGATTCTCCTCTCTCTTCAAATTCCCCTCACCCCAGGCTGTTACCCCAATCTACTTCTTTTTTAATTCCTAGTGACTGGTGTACATCTTGGATACTCAGGGCAAAGAGGTTTGGTTCCATTTATGTTTAGAAGCAGCACATTCTGGAAGCTGTGCTCGCACTTGCATGGTAGTTAACATTCTGCTTTTATTTTTTTGAAGTAAAGAGTTTTGTAATCTGTTACACCACCACAGAGAGGCTTTTCTTTCTTCTTCAGAGACAACTGCAACATGCAAATATTCTAGTGCTTAGAGAAGTGTGTGTCTATACACATGCAACCTAATTATTAGGCTCATTTTCAAACCATATGCTTCAACTCGTAAATAAAGTCTATTAACGCTGAACTATTGATCAAATGTAAGGATCAGGGATTCCAGCATCATCTCTGTCTCTGCAGGCTGCTACCTCCACCAACCCTTATAAGTTAACATTTGAATTGGAATTAGACCTTGTAATTACATTTATATTAATAAAATTAGAAGGCAAATGTTCTTCTGTGTTTTATCTTCAAGTGCTAAACTGAATTGTCACTTCAATTTATTGCGCTTGCACAGAGATTTACTTTATGTGAGTTTTGAAGTAATTTTGAGATTGAAACTTGGGCAATTGTAGGGACATGCCAAGATCAAGAGGCAGATTTGTCTGCTCTCAGGTGACTGTACCCCACAAAGCTTTTCCTTTCCCAAACCCTTATTGGTTGCTCTTATTAGCCCTTTCTGTAACCCAGTCCTTGCATCAACTACTTAGTGTGTACAGATATGCTTATATCCCGTGAGCTTAGCCTCCTTTCGTTTCTCTTCCTTTCCCTCTTAGAGCCTGTCCATTTGTTCGTGTATTTGACACTAGTTTTCTGACATCTCTCCTAGCTATTCCCCTTAGAATCATATATAAAATAATGATGTCCAGCCTGAGCTTTCCTCTCTTCAAAAAGCACTGACCTAGTTTCTCTGCTTTTACAGCAGAAGTTCTCCAGTCCCATGTCAACGAGGTTGCCCTGACATATCTTAGCTCTGATAGTTATCTCTCTCTTTTAATAATGGCATCCTGAATGGGGATTATTTCCTCTAAATGCATCTTCATCTGTTCCCTGTAGACTGTTTCCTTTTGAGTTACTTCTGATTGATCTGTTTTTGGTGGAAGGGCTACGCAAAGATAGCTCTGATCTTTCTATCCAGGGCCTGACCACAGGTGATGATGCCTGTGGACTTTGGCCAGAATTGGAGCCTTTGATAACGTATTCCCCAAACCTGTATTAAACACAATGAAAAAGCCATAGTTTAAATTGCTCTTTCTTATTATTAATGGAGCACATCCTCAGAGTAGTGGGTCACTTAAGTCCTTGGATGTGTGCAGAAATGACAATATTGCCTACTAGCTACTGAATCGTTATTTTTGTACAGCATTGCTCACTTATTTTCCTTCACTTTGCAGTACATTCTTTTCGTTATGTCCAAACTTTCCCCATCTGCCAAGGACCTGATCCTCCATCATCAAAGTGAGGGCAAGATTTCACCTGGGATCCTACAGGAACATCATGAAGGCCAGACTCTTTCTTTGGGTAAGTCTTTGATAGTCTTTAGTTTCTCTATTTACTGCTTAAATGCACTGCCCATTCCCCCCTCTCATTTCTCCATCATATCTATTTATTTATTTATGCCTTTTTTAATATTATTCATCCTTTCTCATTGGCCTCTGACTGACAAAGTGCTCTTGGGTTGTAAAATGTCCCATCGTCCCATCATCGCTTACTGCACCACTGAGAACGGTGCTGGAGCTGCACGGCTGTACCTGCAGCCTGTCAGCCTTCGGTTACAACGTCTGTGCTGGCTTTTAGATTAATGTCAGGCATGGTCCCATCATATGCTGCTGAAATATAGCAAACTCCAGGGACTTAGGTCTCTTCAGGGTATGAGTGCTCATTAGAGCTGGCGTGGGCTGTGTGTGAAACTGCTCTGTTTTATGTATTTGAGCCATCCAGACTGGGTAAGCAATTTTTCTTTCTGGTATCTATTGAAGAATGTAGGTGTCCTCCATCACTTGCCTTAATTCAGCTTCAGAAACTCCTTGCACCAGCTGTTTGCTGTGTAAGGATAAATTCTACTGTGTTGTTCAGGAGAAGTAAATCTGACTTCTGTGTGTAGAATGTATAGAGGTTTGTCTAATTTTGTGCGGCAGAAGGCAACAAGAACATTTGCTAATTCACCTTGTACTGGGAACTTCTTGCAGCAGGGGCCATCCTGCCTGGCTGGGGAGAAGGTATTGTAATAGCTTCCATCACCCTGATATGTTTTTTTTTGTTTTCCACAAGTGGGTGCAATCCTCATTTACACTGATGCTACAAATTCTTTTCTTCTAAAAATAGAATGTATTTTTCTATCACAAATGTTCAGCCTGTTGGGTTGCTCTTCCAAGGGCTTTCTGTGGAATGGAGGCAGACCATAATGGCAAAGACATAAATGATTCTGTCCAACTGAAACCTCTAGACTTGTTCCCCAAGCCAGTCTTTCATGTAGATACATTATCTCACTGAGAATTTCTTGTCAAACTATGTTAAGTAAATAAAAGAGGTGAAATATCAGCAACAGAGCTAACAAATGTAACTGAATGCTCCACTTGAAAGAGCAGATCTAGCTGTTTACCATGCTAATCTGAAATGAAATGAAAATGTATATTTTTCATCTTTTCAGACAACGATCTTCAAAAACAGGTAGCTGAGGTCTTTAACAACACGGATTAATTTTTTTTCTTTCTTTTTAAAGAAAAACCCTATTGTGAAGGAGTTTTGCTTGTGTGTGTGGCTGGATCATGTAGAAACTGAAATATCTATTACTGATGATGGTCCACCAGTGTAAGCCTTATATCATACAGTTTTAATTTGCCTGGCTCATATGTACCTGCCTACCTTTCTGGTGCTGAAGAAGGGTATGCAAACACTTCTGCATGCTTAGAGGTTTACTCTTCCCTTGCCATACACCAAGCTCTTACTCCCTTCTCATGGATGCTCCCAGTCTGTTCCAGTGCTGTGCTGGGAGGCTGTTCAGTATCCACTGTGAACACCTTAAAAACATCTTGGCAGCAACCAGACCAGACATCAGTTAGTGTTATCGGTACCATCTAATATTTGTTGAGTTCAAGTTAGCATTTTTCTCATACTCGGGGGGCAGAGACTGACTAAGTTTATTCTTTGCTTCCCAGAGATTAAGCTCGATTCAGAGCCCAGTTCCAGCAGCTTTCCGGAGAGAACATCCTCCCCAGACAGGCTGCACGCTGCTAATTACAAGGGAAATCCTGGCAGTGTCGAAGTTGGTGCCAAAACCTCACTGATTGCAGCGATGCCGGGATCTCACCAGATGTCTGGATTGTTTATCCGTCTGGGGGTTTCTTGCCCGGGTTGTTCACTGGCTAGCCTTGACCTTCCTCAGGAGTCACAGCTCCTCTTCCAGCCATGCAGAAGAAGGGCTGTTTCTGATGCAGCTCCAGCCCCCATCCCTACTTCTGGCTGCTTCTCTCTGACGTACCTTTGGTGTTTCCAGTTTGTTACAGCCAGAGAGGAAGAGAAGAGTCTCATCCTGCTGCAGCTGCCGTGCCTTTCCTGTGCCTGTCGCCCAAATCAGTGATCATCTGGTCCATGTAGCACCTGTACATACCTACATGGAAAGATGATGTGAGCCTCAAGGAGCTTACTAGTTAAGGAGAGACAGGAATAATAAAGTAATCTAATTTTTCATGCAAAAATCCACTAGGAACTACTAGACTTTCCAAAATGTATTCCAAAGAAATGCAGAGATAGATTCCCGACCGGCATTAATCAGTGCTGATTAAGTCATGGAGCTACCCAATTTCTGCCTGGTGAGTACTTTTCCTGTCATTGATTTATTGCCTGCCCTAGAAAAATAAGACCTGAGAAATAAAGAGTTCAAGTAAATTTGCTCAGTTACCCAGCCAACTGTTGACTATGGTACCAGGGATAATAAATGTTCGTGGGAAATTCCTTATACACGTTCATGTACCAAGGTCAAGACCAGAGGTGTTGGACAAGAGGTTCCACTTAAACTTGAGAAGAAACTTCTTCTCAGTGAGGGTGACGGAACACTGGAACAGGCTGCCCAGGGAGGTTGTGGAGTCTCCTTCCCTGGAGACATTCAAAACCCGCCTGGACACATTCCTGTGTAACATTATCTAGGTGTTCCTGCTCTGGCAGGGGGATTGGACTAGATGATCTTTTGAGGTCCCTTCCAATCTCTAGCATACTGTGATACTGTGAAACTGTGAGCATGCTCCAAATCCTCCAGAAGCTGCAGAACGCAGCTCAGCTGCAGCAATACATCTGGGACCTTCAAAAAGCAAAAAGATGTGACTGAACAGGCTTCCTGAACCTCTGAGGCAGCACACGTGGAGAGTGTGACTGCAGCTCAGGGTGACGCAGAGAACCCAGAGCACCACTTCCCACAATGGGCAAGAGGAAAATTGGCTTTTCCTCCTCAGCCTGCCATGAGAATGGCTGTACTCATGGTTGAGATCCAATGCTTGCCACCAGTACTCCTACTGATAACTGGCCTTAGCACTCTGTTTCTTTCCTCTCATTCATAAGAGAACTCCTCAATGTGCATGACTTAAGGTTTGCAGGATTGTGTTGTGTGGGGGTTATTGTTTTCCTGCAGACACATGGCATTATGTTTAAGTCACTGGATACATCAACACCACCATCTGCTTTTGTTTTTCAAATGACAACGCGTTATTTGTTTAATACTTTCTACCCCATCTTCTTTAAGATATTTTAAGGATAAAGTCTGCAGAGCTGTAGAGAGGACAACCCTTATCAGGTTTATTTGTTTGGCTTACCAGTTTGTCAATATTGCTTTCCAGCTCTCTTTGGAGTATTTGTGGCATATTTTTGTTAACCTGATATGGTGAACAACTTCCATCAATTTATGAACTATGCAGGATGCAGAAGGCTTTCTGCTAGGGACAACACATGAGACTATCCAAAGGGAAAATTAATGCTTTGGTTTTTGGGTACCCATTTTGTGTCATTTTACCAATGGATCTGGTGTCTGGAAGGAGTTTGTCTCTTGGAGAACACATCAGATCCTTTAAAGTGTGCATTGCCCACAGATTTCTGACCACTTAACACTTCAGAAGCTATAGCTGAGTCATGGTTAACAAATCCATGCACTTGCTATAATAATTTGCTAAGTATAAGGACTTTTGCTTTAATGTCATGGAACAGAGTGAGACAACTTTTCAAGATAGTTAAACTGCAATTAGAGGATTTCTTCACTTATGGTCTTCAACTCTTTCTCCCTGTTGCCTGTCAAAGGCAAATAAACCATTTGTTTCTCATCCTATGACTCTCCCAGCTCAGAATGACAGTCACTTGGTGTGCCCTAAATGTGCTTCCACGTAACCAGGAGAGGAGCTCTTACTGCTCTGTTACCCAGACTATGCATATGCTGACCATACATTTGCTGTGTATTTTCTTAAATGAAAGCTGCATTGGTACAAACATTTGCCTATTTGCTTGCCAGTGGCACCCATTCCCAACCTCATTTAGTGACAATGAACAAGAATCTATTTTTTTTTGTCTCCAAACCAGAATATTCACATATTCCAACCCCGAGGCTCAGCTCACCCAACCCTTTACTTCAGATCTTTGCCTCTGCACCACTGCACTAAATAAATTAACAAGTTATCAACAAGACTACCAGGCCACTCCGGGCTCCCCATTACTGAGGCTGTCATTGCCACTCAGGGCTCTGCTGGAACGTGACAACTTCGCAGCAGAAGGTCACTCCCTCCAGTCACTCGCTGCTGCTTAGAGGCAACCATTCTGAGAAATGATTTGTTATGGTAGAATCGGAGGCACATTTGTTAGTTAATTCATTCTGTAAAACTCAAATGAGATGAAAAACAAGCGTAGATCTCACAAATGGCATTTAATTATGTCTGAGACTAAAATTCATAATACATATTTATGCTGCCCTAAGTCATTTGCACGCAAGGTCCCTTTTATTCTCACAACTGTGTCCAATTGCTGATACGGGAAGAGGGCATTAGTGTTGGGCTGCTACATGTTCACTCATTAAAGTGCCTCCTTCTTTGTGCCTTAACTTCCCATCCCCTGCCCTCAACAGGCAACAGGTTTTCTCTGAATTTACAGTGTGGCAGTTCTCTAGGTGTTATTATTTCACAGCCCGTGCAAACAATGCAAAGAAGAGCCTATAGTACCTAATAGCTTTAACTTGGAAGATTAAGATGATGTAGTTTCTAACTACATTTGGTCTCTAACTACTCTGTGACTTTTCTTCCAGACTTGGGATCTAGGAAGATATCAGGAAGCATTGCACAAGGACATTGTCCCTGGTGAGCTGGGCTACAACCTGCCAGTAGCAGGATAACTTTGTTTTCTACAGCAGAGGGGGAGCCGCCTCAGCAGTGACACTAGAAAGGAGAAATGGTTAGCACAAGACAAACACCTTGCACTGATGCTGCAGAAGCTTGAGAGAATGTGCAAAGCACAGGCTCCTGGGAAATGGACACTTTGGCACGTGT